CCCCCCCCCCCCCTCCCCCCGGGCCTCGATCGCCGCCCACACCCTGGTCTCTTGCTGCTCCCTGGGCCTCGCGCTTGACGGCCGCGGTGACTCCATCGCGTCCTGGCGCCACTTGTCCTCTCTTCGCCCCTCCCCCCTGCCCCCCGGGGGGCAGGGTGGAGGTCTGACCCGCTCCCGGCCGGGTGGGGAGCCCCGCAGTGCCTCAACCCCGAGTGCGCAAGCGCGCCGGAGGGCGGGCCGCGGGCGCTCGGGCGTCGGCTCGAACCCGCGGCCGCCGGCCCCGGGCGCCCGGCGATGATGGCGCCGGTGATGTGGGCCCCGGCAGAAATGATGGCTGGTGGCGCGCCCCTTGCATGGGGTGGCCGGGGGACGGGCACACGCGGGGCGCCGGGGCGCCGGGGCGCGGGGCGCGGGGCGCGGAGCGGGGGCATTTCTGCCCGGGTCCGGGATGGGCCCGTGCCGGGCGGCGGCGACAAGGCGACGCATGGCTGGGCGACGGCCCTCCCCCATGGCCGGATTCCGAATGAGCAGGGGCCGGGGGGGAAGAGAGGCGCGCCAGGCCGGGGGGGAAGAGAGGCGCGCCAGGCCGCGGCCATGACAGAGCCCACAAGCGCCTTCGCACACACAGGGGCAAGATCGCGCGCCCCGGGGGCCGCCCCCCCCCCCCCCCTCCCCCCGGGGGCCGGTCATCCCAGCACTAAATTGCATTATTAACCGGGATACCAGAACCCGCCGGAATCAGACGAGGCGCGTGCTGGGCGCGCCCTGCCTAGACCACAATCACCTGCGCGGTGGTCACTTGGCCCTGCTCCTCCGCCCCGCCTGGAGAGCCGGGGGGGGGGGGGGGGCCCGAGGTCGGGGGCGCCGGCACCCCGCCCAGGGGACCGACCAGCGGTCATGCTGTGACCTGTTTTATGGGCGGGTGATGGGATGCCGCTAAGGGCGGGGGCGGGGGGGGCCGGCCGGCCGGCCGGGCGCACATCTCGACGTCAAGGGCCCCCGGCTCCACGGCCGCACATGCCCGGATCGCCAGCCCGGCAGCGGTGTCGGGCCCCGCGAGCTCCCTGGATCACCGACGCCTGCCTGCACCGTCGGTGCTCCCCCCTCGCGCAAGGAGGAGATGCCCGGGGGCAGGAACAGGGCGGTGGCGCACACGCAGCCCGCACCGGTGGCGTCTCCGGGGGCATGCGGGCTGCGTGTGCGCCATTTTGCTGGGCGGTGATCGGGGCGCAGATGGTCCGAGGGCGGAGGCAGGCGCATGGCTTTTCGGCCCCGCCGTGTTGTCTCACCCTCTTCGTCCCCCCCCCCGGGGGGGGTGGGTGTGTGTGGAATGGGGGAGGGGGGATCTGCCGCCGCTGTGACTCCGGGCGTGCGTGCGCATATGCCGGCCATGGCTGGGCGCGCGGCGCGGGGTGCGGGCGGGCGGCGAAGAGCATACCTTGCGTCTCGGCGTCCGGCGGGGGCGGGGCAAGTCGGTGGGGGCACGAGAGCAGGCATGTGAATGGGGGGGGGGAAGGGAGGGGGCTATTGTGTCAGCTTGTATGGGTGGGCGCGGGCAGCCGGGGCCCTGGCCTCCGCGGCGGCATGTGCCCGAGGCGGCGCGGTGCCTGGCTTGGCATGATATCATTCGCCGCTGGACCTTGTGGGGCATGCTCGCTCGGGGCCGGGCGGCGGAGAGAATGCCCCCGCGCGCGTGCCCACGCCTGCGACCGGGGCCCCGCCTGGGCGCGGGTCGTGCCCCTGCCCCCGCGGCGGGTCGGCGGGACCCTGGGCACGCGCGCCCCGGAAATCAAAAAAAAAACACCCGAGGGGGGCGCGAAGGAATCCTGGCGAGGGTGGCTCACGACCGGGGCGGCGAGGACCGCGCATGGTGTGGATAGTGCGTCTGCATGCCCCCTTGGCGGCGCCCCCTTGGCGGCGCCCCCTTGGTCGTGCCCCCTGCGTGAGTCAGTGGCCTGGCGATGACGACGCCAGTGCGCGGGTCTTGGCCTGGCCGGGGCGCCAATCTATCCGATTGTGGGCCAGGCGTCCACATCCGGGCGCGCGGACCTGTGTGCAAGTACCGAGTGTGTATGTGTGTGTGTGTGTGTGTGTGTGTGTGTGTGTGTGTGTGTGTGTGTGTGTGTGTGTGTGCGGGTAGGTGGATTCTGGGACCACGTTGCCCCGGGGGCCCCGGCCACATGCATGTGGCTGAGCACTTGAGGCCGGGATTGGCGCCGCGCCATCCGGTGGAGGAGGGTACAGCCACGCCTTGTGGTCGGCTTCGGGCCCTGCACCGGCCCGGGCGTCGGGACTTGCCGCCAGGCCGGGCAGCGGGTGCCCGCGTGGTGTGCCGGGGCCCGAGCCCGCATGCCGCCCGGGGTCAGGCGAACCCCGGCCGGGACGCCACGCCGGGGCCCCCTGGCCCCGAGTGGCCCCTCTCTCGCCTCCCGGCCTGGCCGGTGGGGCCTCCCCGCCGGGGGGAGGGGGAGGGGTATAAAAGAGCCCGCTCATCGGGCGGCTCTTGGGAGATTTTTTTCATCAGTCTCGCACTGAAATCGCTTCCCATCCTTCCAATCTACCCCCTTCCCCCCGATCCTCCCCTCTTGACATTGTACCTCGTGCACAGTGTCTCCAGCCTGATCCTGCCCAAGTGCGTGCCCAGCGGGTCTCAAGGCCCCGCCTCGGCGGCTGCCTCCGCCGCTGCCCCCTCTCCCCTGCCCGGCCCCCATTCCGCACACGCATGTCCTGACCAACGCGCCTTCCCCCACTCGCACCTCGGCTCCTTCCACGCCGCCCGCACTCACGCACACACGCACACACGCACACAGACACACCATGTCACGCTCGCTCTTCCTCTCGGCCCTGTTCGCCATGCTGGCCATGGTGGCCCTCGCCGGGCTGGCCCATGCCAAGGACGACAACACCGCCGCCGTGGAGGAGGTCCTCCATGACGGCATCATCCACGAGGATGTGCCCGGGATCCGCCACTGCAAGTGCACCAAGTCCCTGAAGTGCTTCGACAACCTGGGCAACTGCGTGAACCACTACCACGCCAAGGAGTTCCCCAATGGCGGCGGCCGGGTGCAGTGCATCACCAACGGCCTGAACATGCCGTTCTACTCGTGCGACGAGATGCCGGACCTGTGCTTCAACACGGCCACCTGCGACCCGGTGCGCGAGGTCCACTGCAACTGCCGCAAGGAGGTCATCTGCTACGACTCGGCGGCCGATTGCCGCCGCAACCACAACCCCCTGAAGCTGAAGGCCGGCGACCGGAACCAGTGCCGGTCGCACGGCAAGACGGTGTATGCCTGCGCGGAGGAGCCCGGCGTGTGCCGGTCGGTCAGCAATTGCAAAAGGACCCACGGTGGCAATGTGACTCAGGACCCGCATCTGGTGGGCTTCGGCGGCGAGAGCTTCTACTTCGAGGGCCAGGCCGGCCGTGACTGGAACATCATTTCCGACCCGGGCTTCCAGCTGAACGCCCACTTCATCCGCCTGCACTCGCTGAAGGGTGCGTTCTGGTGGGGGGGGGGGGGGCGGGGGCGGGGGGTTTCTTTTCCCGTCGACACAACTGACCGCGTCGGTCGTCGCACCTTTCCCCTTTCTCGGCACGCCTCCACGGCCCGATAACCGCACATGCATCGCCAATCGGCACATTCATGACAAACCCGCACACATCCACACATCCACACATCCACACACCCACGCACACATCCACACATCCACACATCCACACACACACACAATCACACACAATCACACACAATCACACACAATCACACACAATCACACACACACACACACACACACACACACAACGCAGGCACCTACATGGGCCGCATCGGCATGCTCTTCGGTGACCAGTCCCTCGCCTTCGACCCGCACTTCGGCGCCTTCGTCAACGGCACCCACATCACCGAGGGGTCCATGAGCTTCCCCCAGGCCGAGGTGACGGTCGACCATATTGATGGCCGCTACCGCATGACCGCCCGCACGGCCACCTGGCAGGTGATTGCCCGCACGGTCATCGAGCAGGGCGCCCTGTCCGAGGCCTACGTCAACCTGCATGCCAGCCTGGTCGGCACGCCGGAGGACCCGCACGGCATCCTCGGCCAGACCGCCCGCTTTGCCATGGCCGAGAACGACCTGTCCGACAAGCCGCTGCGCAACCCGGGCGCCCCCTTCCAGCTGGACGGCGAGGAGGCCGACTACGAGGTGAAGGACGGCCTCTTCGGCACCAACTTCAAGTACAACCGCTTCGGCACCACCGACGAGAATGGCAAGAAGAAGCTCCCCCTGCGGGCCTCGGTTGACGGCCACCCGAAGCCCCTGCGCCAGTCGCGCTCGCTCTTCGAGGCCACCGTCGACATGTAAGCCGGAGGCTGTCGTCTTCGGCCCCAGCCTGCGCGCGTCGGCGTGCGTCTCGCCCGCCCGCTCACCCGCCGCGAGCAGGGGCCCGAGCAGGGGCACACACACACACACACACACACGCACACCGCGCCCTCTCCGGCATCGGGGCCCGGTAGCGGCCCGAGCGGCCGTCGGATGGCCGGGACGCATGCATGCATGCCGCGCGCATGCCTCGACTCATTGAAGCTGGTCTTGTGAGGCGATGGCGCGCGCGCGCGCGCGCGCGCGCACGCGTGTGCGAGCGCTCCCACCCCATCCGTGTCGGCATCGGGACTCGCGTCACACTTTAATGAGCGCAGTTCTCACGCATCAGACAGAGAGATGGCAGCCACCGCTGCCTATCGATCGCCACAATAGACTGTCAGCAAGTAAAAGAAAGCCCCGCGCCTTGGGTGGAGATGGTCCTGGGGCCTGGTGGGGCGGGCGCGCAGACCGCGAGGGGCCGTGCAGACACGGGGCGGGGGAAGCCGAGTACGGCGCTCCAGGGGCCGGGCCACCGAAGCCGCGGCCACATCAGGCATGGCCCCGGCTCGGGGCCCGGCGAGGGAGGCACCCGCGGCGCGCACCCGGACCCACGCACCGAGACTGAGTGTGCGAGGGGGCGGGGGGAGGGGGGAGAGCGCGCGGTTAGGGATATGGGGCTCTGACGCAGGAGCGCGCCCGGTGCGAGTGGGGGGGGG